ATAACGAAATTTTAATTTCCCTGTGAACAGTACAGTGGTAAATAAGAGCAATTTTAAAGCAAATTATAGTTTTTATTCAAATATGTTTCATATAATATTTGTTTAAAATATAATGTCAAATCGATTATCTTAACAAAAGTTTTTTATAATTCTACTCCGCTTAATGATTATTGATAGAATCAAAAATGTCCGTAAAAATTTTTGTTTAGAATAAAGCTATAGGTAAACTTTTCCTAATTAAATTTTTTTATAACAACAATCAAAAATCAAAAAATTAACAATCACTATACAGGGTGTCTCACGTAATTGGTTCGTTAAAACTTTTTTAGGTTCCACTATACGTACAGTTTTGAAATTTTGGTAGCATAGGTTGTTCATCCGCAAATTTCACCATGCTCTTAAAAACCCCATATCCCAGCCAACGTTCTGTCAAATAGATTGTCATTTATTGTATCAGAGTATCTCATATAGGTGGTCAAAAATTGAATTACCGTTTCTCCATATTCAACCGCAAGAAAGTCGAACATTTTGAATGGAATACCCATATTTTATTAGCCTACCCAAAAGGGAATTTAATTCTGTACAATTTATCTATAAACATTCCTATACCTATTTATTGTAGTTTCTCTCATATTGGAAAATTTATCGAAACATGCAGAAAATGCAGGAAACCGTTTGTATTTTTAAGAAAGCCATGACATTTTGACAGTTTTTCATTTAATTTATTTCTGTTATTATTTGTACTATTAATTACGATTGATAATCTTTTAGTTTACTAGTTTTTACTTACCAAAAATTTCAAACAGAAGATCAAATAAATGAAACAATTAAAACACAAAATTAGATTTGGGTAAAAATATAAATTTGTTATTAAATTGAATTTGGAAATGCAATAAAATACGATAAAATATTTATTTCGTTGTCTTCGTCACTGGTAACCGGAAATATGCGGTTACTTTTGGTCTCGATGTGTCTACAACTAAGAAAATCTTTATAAATTTTTTGAAATTCTTTCTTCTGATGGGCGTTAGGTTTGTTAGGCATCTCTCATTAAGTGTTCGACATGACCTGTCCAAAAGTTTATTACATTCGCCATCAATACAAAATAAATTTCAAATATCGGCGTTGGAATAATCTGCCATGATGCTCAATGACTTACACCCGTCGTCAAATGTAACTAATGACAATAATAATACCAACTAGACCAAAAACTATCAAAAAAACTTGCATTTCGTGCATGTTTTAATAAATTTCCTAATGCGAGACAAACTACAATAAATAGGTATATAACTTGTAGAGAATTAATTTCCAGTAATTTACAGTAATTCAATTTTTGACCACCCTATATAATAAAATCCGATACAACAAATGACAATCTATTTGACAGCATCTGAAGAGTAATTGTGCCAATGTAGATCTTTTTTGAATGAACGTTGGCTGAGATATGGAGTTTTAAACAGCATGTTGAAATTTACCGAAAAAAGCTTAAAACCAAAATAACTCGAAAACGACAAACTGCAGGTACCAATAACTTTTATCAAAATCAACCTATTTTTTTACGTACAATTAAATGGTGTAATGAAAACTAGAGCATTCTATTTAAAATAGCGAAGTTATGGTCTACTTTCGGCAGACCGGAAATGGCAGCCATCTTGAAAATATTTTAGATCGAAAGTTCCGAATGAACAACCCATACCACCAAAATTTCAAATCTCTACGAATTGTGGAACCTGAGAAAGTTCTAACGAACCAATTACGTGAAACACCCTGTATAAATAAACCGAGGTTTGCAGAGGTTAGGTATTAGTGTAGAGTAATTATGAAACATCTTATTATTAGGTTTATACAGTGTGTTTGATGTTAACTGTCACACCAGATATCTTAGTTATTATTGGAGATGTAACAAAATGTTATAGAAAGAATGCTACTCCACACTCTCCAATCAATCTCCTTGTATAGCAGTGTGTGACATCTATAAGGAGAAACTCGTCTTCAATTAGAAGTATTTTACCTTCTGACAGCGGATCTAGTCTTTTAGAAGCAATATCTACTTTTTTATTAGCAGCATCTAACCTTCCGTCAACAGTATCTATTCATCTAGTCATTTGGGAGAAGTATTTTATTATCAAAATTCAGTCTTCCATTGGTGGTACATACTCTTAGGCTACCAGTATGCAATCATCTGCAAATAGTATCTAGTATTCTATTTGCATTGTTTTATTATAAATAACTTCTATTAATTGCATGTTTAATACAACGAAATTTCAATTTCCCTGTGATTATAATATGCTCTTTGAGATGTTTGAATGCAATTGATAATCTTCTACCAGCACAATCTAGTCATCCGGGTACAGTACCTAGGTATTTTATTATCAATATTTAGTCTTCCATTGGTGATAAATACTCTTCCTCTATCCGAATATAGTTATTTGCAAGCAGTATCAAGTACTATATTGGTCTCTATTTAATCTTCTGCCATCAGTATCTTGTTGCCTGCAAGTGCTAATCTTCTGTCAGCACTATCTAAGTATTTTACTAACAATATTTACTCTTTCATTAGTAATACATTCCCTTTCGCTAGCAGTATCAGTCTCCTATTAGAACTATTTAATCTTATGCAAGAAGTATATAGTGTTCTGCCAGCAACATCTAGTCATCCGGAAATAGTATCTAGTATTTCATTAGTAGTATTCAGTCTGCCATTAGTATACATAGTACATACTATTTCGCTAGCAGTATAGGATCTTAATATATAAAAATTATTTGTATGACAAAGTAATCGTTGTCACGAGCTGAAGGAATGGAGTCGAGGTCGTTTTCGGGCGAGGCGCTGCCTCGATCTGGTTTTATCTACTAGCTGAAATAATTCTTCATAAACACTTACAATAGTTATTGGTACCACAAAGACTGATGAAATGAAGCCGAGGTCATTTTATCTTTAATTGTCTAATGTTTATTCAATGGTTATTTGCGTAAGAAGATTGCGATTAATAGAGCTCTTGTAGTTTCCACATTCTAGGGCGTTGTATTTCTAGGATAGGGAACATAACTTAATATAAGTGAGTTATTCCGTTCTTCCAGCAGTGTTTCTGTTTTCCATGTTTCTGTTATAAGTTGGCAAAGTTTTGTGGTAAGCATGATGCTTCCTTTTTTCGGGATTTCTGATGGTATCTTATCAGAACTTGGTGATTTGAGGTTGGCTAATTTTTTCTAATGCTTCTTCCACTTCTTCGATTGTTCATAATTCGTTGCGTTTCCTATGTCTTCTACATTTTAGCTAAAGTGGCTCTTAAAATGTTCTGCTCCTTCAGTCTAAACCTTTGTATCTCAAAAACCGAAAGTTATTTTACAAAATAGACCTCAACATTTCAAAAGAAATTATCAAAGAAATCATTTGTTCATAAATTACTTAAATTAATCAAGGAAGAGTTAAAAATCGTTAGAAATTCTTGAGTTTAAACTTTGTATCTCTAATTAGTAATAAAGCAATAACAATTATCCAAGAAATCGATTTTGCAAAATCTTTTAATTTAAAAAGAGTAGAATGACTGTAAATAAGATAAGGACGATTTTTCAATTAGTTACCTAAAATGTTCCAAAAAGCACAGTTTCAATTTTCAACGTTTTCACAAAAACCAAAAATATTTTTCAATATTCTTAAAGTACACACTTTTAGAATTAATTTGATATAAGAATCATTTTTTAATTCCTGTAAATAAGGTTAGGACGATTTTTTAAGTACTTATCAGTTTAAATACCATTTTTAAGGTGCCTAATTAAAAAAAAGTTCAAAAAAATTAAGTTTATAGTTTAACACTTAAGTTAAACATTTTCAAAATTATGCTAATATGATTTTTGAACATTTTTATCTATCCAACCCAACCCAACCCAACCCTCAAGCGTTATCATGATGACAACATTTCAAATCAAAAATCATTTGAGTTTGAAGATGGATATCTGCGAAAGCAATCAACGAAAACAATTCCCTTTTTAGAACTCTCCAACATTTTTACATGATAACTGCAAATTGTAACATTTTTGGCAATACAGTTTAATAGATAATAAACAAAACTTAGTAGGTTAACATAAATATGTTTTACAATTTCCCCTACACATTATTCAGAAAATCAAAAAACAACTTTGAACCTTTCTAAATCTTTTTGAAGTGAACCCTAAAACTTTATCCAACATAGATAATCCACAACATATGGACCGTATAAACCAATTTTCTCTAGGGATGAGAGAAGGGCGATAGATAGAATCTCTTTGGCCACGAGTAAAGCAGAAATTTCAAGTTCCTCCCTCTGGATTTCGCCCCTAGCTCCCGGATTTTGATTTGTGGCGTCCCACATACATACACGTATAGTTACAGTGGCAGTAAATACAATTCAAGAGCAACCCTGAAATGAATTGCATCCGATCCCCCTCGAAATGTAATCTAATCGAAGGATCTTAACAGGTTTACAGGGATTCGGGTTGCTCTTTTTGTGTTATGAGAGTTAAAAAGGATTTATTTTTAAGAATTAAAATCAAATTTATATCTTAAAACGTCTTGTTTAATAACTGATTTATGTCTTAAAATGTGTTTTTTAATAATATATTGTATAATAAAAGTATTGAGAATAAAAGTATCGAAGGAAAACTCGGAGATTTATGTTTTACCAAAAACTGTTAAAATCGACACAAAATTAAACAAAAAAAAAATTTTTTTTAATTTATTTTTAGGCGTGGTTCTAATTTTTTTTAACTATGTGGACTTAAAAACAGATTCTAAGTAGGCGTGGTCGTTATAACCGATCAAAAACCGCTCGACGAATCAAATCGCATTCGACTCTCCAACCGCGAACAAATGACGTTCGGGTGAGTAGGCGTGGTTTATACCAGTTTTCACCCCCACCACCGACCCGATATCACATCATATCGTCTCGGAATTTGTCCTCTTTGTCTAACCCTCGACTCGCAGTCAATTGTTTCCGCCCCGCGCCGCCTCTGTTTCGAACTGTTTTTAGTGAAACGCCAACTCGATTCACGTTCGGAACGTTTTCGAGTTTGAAAACACAAATTTCGCGATAAAATAACAAAAAAACATTAAAAATAAAACGAGAATTGAGATTAAAATTAGATTAAATTGAGGTTAAGTGAAGTGATTTTCGAAAAAAAAAATTATAATAAATAATATATATAAATAAGTGTTGGTGAAGTGAATATTCGATTTTGGATTAAATAAAGTGAAGTTATAAAGTTGAGTTTTTCGCACTCTTATTCAAAAAAAAAAAAAACAGTGAAAGTGAAAATCATTTTTCACCTAGTGACATAATTTGAGTTTTTTTTTATTATTTTATTATTTATTATCAAAGTGGGTACTGAAAAACAAACCGAAAACGACTTTAAAACACGTTTAATGTTGGAATCGGCGAATAATTTGCGATTATTCGCGTTGGGGGCTCATTTGGCAGCCCCACGGGGGCAGCCGCCTTGGTGCGGTGTTGCCCCACAATTATTACAATTTCCGGGGGCTGCAACTTTACTTGGGATGCCATCATCAGGCGCAATTTTCGGACCCCTAGGTAGACCTAGATATCCAACGGCATTGGCAGCCCCCGGACGACCTCCTATGGGTTCCGTCGGCGGCGGAGGACCACAAAGTGAAGATTCCGGAAGTGAATCTCATCAGGGTAAAGGTTAGAAACTATTATTATCTGTCAAAAAACTTTTAAGCAAACTAAAGTTTAATAAAAAAAATTGTTTGTTCAATTTAAAAAGTTATAACTTAAATAATTGACCGATTTATTATAAACCTGCTTTATTATAATCCTTAAAGTGTCGTTTAGAAAATTATAAAGAAATTTAAAAAATGTGAATATTAAAAATGTTGCTCATTATTTATTTTTAGGAATTATTCAATAATTCTTGCACCAAATTAAAGCTATAAAGACATGGTTTATGATACCCATAAAAAAATTTAAACTGATAACAAAAATTTTCCTAACTTTATTTTACACTGATATAATATATAAAATGATATTTTTGAGGTTATATAAATGTTGTATCCAAAAGCTTTCCAAACAATTTTTATTTAGAATTAAATTAGAAATAATTTTTGTTTGAAACATTTTTCAAATTTTTGTTAAATAGCGCTTTTTTTAGTTTCCCTGTGAATAGTACGACAATTTAAAGCTATTTAAAACATATTTTTTGTTTATTTATTGAAAATATTCCTTATCAGATTTCTTAAATACACACATTCAATGTCTGCAGTGGGTAGTATATACAGGATGTTTCTAAATTGATGCGAAAAACTTCAAGGGTGATTAAGTTAAGGGAAAAAATCTACAACTTTCTTATCTCTTGATTTTGTGATCAAACTAACAATTTTAGGAGAAAATGTCAATAGACTCAAGTTTTTAAATAGAAAAATGTAGACGCATTAAAAAGTTCTGATGCAAAGTATTATAGAGGTTAATTTTTTCAGCCCCATTTTCGGGTTGTAAAAATCGTCAAAAAGTGTCATTTTATTAGCAACATCAATCTGCCAAATTTCATTCTTCTAAATTCCTCCATAATGGGGTTTCTGCTAACTTTAGAATGCTATAACTCGGTGGGGAAAGGGTTTTGAACAAAAAGTTATATGAAAGATTCCTTAATTTTTGCTGAAAAATCACTCCTTGAAATCTTTCGCATCAATTTAGAAACAGTCTGTATATAAAACGATGTTTTTGAGGTTATCTTAATAATTAAATGTTGTATCCAAAAATTTTTCAAACAATATTTGTTTAGAATTAAATCAAAAATAAATTTTAGTTGAAAATTTTTTAAAACTTTTGTTAAATGACGCTTTTTTTCCCTGTGAACAGTACAACAATCTAAGACAATTTATATATCTTAGATGGCCAAGACATATTTTTGTTGACATAGTAAATGTTGTATATAAAAATTTTTCAAACAATGTTAAAAATTAAATCAAAAATAGGATAATTAATTCTGATTTCAATGATATATCACAATTATTAAAAAAGAAAATAATAAACCTGATGATAGTTCACGAAAACGAAACATCGGAAAAAATTTCTAGTTGTGTCATGACATTTTTCATAAAAAGTCTTTCAGATTTAGGAAAAAACGAAAAGTAAAGAAGTTATAGGCAAAAAGCGAAAAAGTCATTTTTTTGTTTTTCGGCCATATTTTAAAACCTAAAACGGCTAGATCCAATTTTGTCCCCATTTAACCATTTCTGTATCTCTTATGGTTTCTGAGATCCCAATGGTGGGTGTCAAATTTGAATTACCTGTATATAAAATGATATTTTTGAGGTTATGTAAATAATTAAATGTTGTATCCAAAAGCTTTACCAACAATATTTATTTAGAATTAAATTAGAAATAATTTTTGTTTGAAACATTTTTCACATTTTTGTTAAATGGCGCTTTTTTTAGTTTCCCTCTGAATAGTACGACAATTTAAGGCTATCTAAAACATATTTTTCTTTATTTATTGAAATATATTTCTCGTGAGTTTTTTCTTAGCATGTGATTTAAAACTGATTTCTTAAATACACACATTTAATGTCTTCAGTGGGTAGTATATACAGTGTGTTTCTAAATTGATGCGAAAGACTTCAAGGGTGATTAAGTTAAGGGAAAAAAATCTGCAACTTTCTTATCTCTTCACATTTTACAACTAACAAATTGTTAGTTTGATCACAAGAAGTAAAATAATGCTGCGATTAATTTGACATACCTAACTTCATTTCTTTGACAAATAATAACCAATCTCTGAATTAATTCACCTGAGCGTGTGTATTATTTTATTTTTGTGATCAAACTAACAATTTTAGGACAAAATGTCAAGAGGCAAAAATGTTGCGTATTTAAATCTATTTAAATCAATAGAAATATGTAATATATAATATAATATGCAAAATAGAAAAATTTAGACGCATTAAAAAGTTTTAATGCAAAGTATTATTGGGGTTAATATTTTCAGCCTCTTGTAAAAAGTGTCATTTTATTAGCAACAGTTATCTACCAAATTTCATTCTTCTAAATTCCTCCATAGTGGATTTATTAAATAAATACAATTTTTCCGCCAAACTTTAGAGTGCTGTAACTCGGTGGGGAAGATGTAACTCCTTGAAATCTGTCGCATCAATTTAGAAACACCCTGTATATAAAAATAATGTTTTTGAGGTTATCTTAATAATTAAATGTTGTAACCAAACATTTTTCAAACAATATTTGTTTAGAATTAAATCAGAAATAATTTTTATTTGAAACTTTAAAAAAAAAATTTTTTTCCCTGTGAATAGTACAACAATCTAAGACAATTTATATCTCTTAGATGTTGTATATAAAAATTTTTCAAACAATGTTAAAAATTAAATCAAAATTAATTTTTGCTTGAAACATTTTTGCTCAATAACGCATTTTTGAGTTTCTTGTTAATCTCCTAAAAACTAATCTCCCACAATTTTTTAAATTCGCACATTATTTCGCATTAAAATATTAACATAATTCATTTCTCGAAAACCGCAGAACTAAACATATATATAAACTATTTACTATAATTACATAAAAATGTTCAACAATTTTAAAAAGGTTAACAGCGAAGGAAATTATGTAACGGTTTCTCAAAGAACTTTTTTATTGAAAGCTGTCATCTTGAAAACGCTTCAATAAATTTTTGGCCGATTGATCAAATATTCAATTATTATGCAAAAATGTGTAAATAATAAATTACTTATTATTTCTTTTAATTGATGTTTTTTTGAATACTTCCAATGATTTTTAATCGATTCTCTTTAACCGCAAAACTGAAAATGTTTCGGTTCATAAATTTTGCATAAAAATGGTGCAAAATTCCAGAAAATATAACAGTAATTTTTCGGCGAACGGTTTCGCCCAGGATATCCATCCTTAAACCGGATTTTTAGTAGATTTCTCTTAAACTACTATTTATATAACATTTATATTAATCAAGTTTTCTCAAACTGCAAAATTGAAAATTATACATTTTCGAATATTATTAAAAACTTTGAAGAATTCTAAAAAAGCTTACCGCAATTTTCTACGTTGACCGATTTCCGAGTCATTTAACTTCAAACCCAAATAAATTTTTGATTGAATATGTTGTCACTTTGTTAATATTTCATCAATTTTTAGTAGATTTCTACTAAGTAACTAAATTGACCATAACTATGTAAAAATATTAAAGAATTCGAAAAAACGTAACCGCAATTTTCTTCGTCGAACGGTTTCCGAGGTATCCAGCTTCAAACACAAAGAATTTTTTTGTTATCAGAAGTTTTGTGGATTTCTCTCAAGCTGCTAGTCTAGATAATGTTTTTTTTTTTGGCGAAATAACTTTTTCAATTAATATTTCTTAAACCACAGCGCTGAAAATGTTCTATCTATAAAGATTATGCAACAAAGTGAAAGATTATAATAAATTTAACTTTAATATACTTATTTTGCGCGCGAAAATGTGTTATTTAACCATATAATTCTTAGAAATACTTGCACATTCTTGGAATTTCTGGATAACACTCAAAATCCACACACATTCCATATTCATTAAATCAATATTAATTCCTAAATGTCTTTAGCAATTCCTGGAAATCGTTACAAATCATGGTCATCCTTAGATATAATTAAAAAATCCCTGGAACTTTCCAATTACCTAGATAGTCTTAAAAAATCGTTGGAACACCATGAAGAAATAAAATTTCGAATACCGCCTTCAGTATGGAATGGGTAAATTTTTCATTAGGACCAGTAAAACCATCTAGATTCACTTCAACTCCATATCATCCTCTCCATTGATGTTCTTATGACGATAAATTTCTATGGTCGCTCTGGTCATAGTATGGTATCAATAGTATCCTTTTTAATTTTCTTGTAGGTATTCTCGTGTGTTTTTCTGTTCACCACCACTTCACAATTCCTTGGTTATGGTACACTTTGAATGGATAGAATTAATTTGCGTCTAATGGTTGCAGCTCATTGCAGCTCTGCTAAGTGCTAGTAATCTAAGTATTATAAGAAATTTACATTGCTAACAAGTTTTACGAACATTATCATTAAAGTATTGGACCATCTGATATCTTTTGCGTTCCATTTTAAGCCTAATAGCAAACCGTCATATTTTTGGCGCACAGTGTTTTGGTGTTTCTTAATAGTACCACTCTTTGCTTCATTTTGGTGAGCAACAAAAAACAATATAACATCACTGAAGCATTGCAAAAACTATTATATAGAAGATAATAGATTTTCATTATTCTCGATGCAAATACCGACATCTACGGCTCAGGTTAAGGATAAGCATTAAGAACGATTAAGGATAAGCAATCAAGATAAAAAGATAAATTATCAAGCAGATCGCACACTAAGCTTTTAGAAATTTATTACCTTGTTCATCAAGATCAAAAATAGAGTAATCAGACGAAGCAGTATGTTATAGATACATAGCTTTAGTTTATAGTGTGAAAATGATTGAAAAATTTCTTTTTAACTGCTTTTGCAACCCTTTTCTTCGCAGCGATATCCCGTAATTCATTTCAGCCTCAAGAGTTGAGCTGAACTAGAGAGATAGTTTATCGAACAATCTACCTTCAATTTGAAGCTATCTAATACCATATCGCATTTTAAAATTTTTAGGTCTCCGTTACTAGCCTTAATAAGTGCTT